GGGGGGGGGGAAAAAGAGACCAGGCCAGTGGCAAAAAGGAGAGGAAGAGGGAGACATGTCAGGACAAAGAGGAAAAACAAGCTAACACGTCAAATGAAACTTAAAGATTAAGGCAATAGTCTTGAGGGAATAGTTCAACTTTTTCTAGCACTTGTTCACTTGCTTTAATTTGTGGTACACATATATTATCTGGCTTTTCTGTATAGGGATGAGGTTAGCGTTGCTCAGAATAAAGCCCGGATGTAGAAAAATATTAATCCAATTCACAAAATACAGCAACTTCTACTCAGATTTTATAGACATGGAATTAAATTCTAAAAATCTCAAGTTTTGGTCATAGTCACTTGGATTGAGATGCTCTGGTGAATAATGGTGTATTTAATTTGTACTTTTTAACATGTCAAATCCATTAATTCCATCATAGACCAAGTCTTAAATGATCCAAATGCAGCATTAATCAAGAACACTAGATGAAACATTACACAACGCAGAAAAATATCAAGAATCAGCCGTTTTAGCCTTTCAGTGAAAGCCACTTTATCCCTTTCCATTGCAGATTAATATCCTGTTTGTAGATGAAGTAGAAGAAAGCAAAACTGAATCAAATATCTACCAAGAATATGCCAAAAAATATGCAGATAAATATATATTTATTAATATGGTCACACACGCAGATAGAAAGCCTAAATTTTTCCTCTATTTGATCTGAGAAAAAAGTTGTATTTTTCACTTTAAAGCCTTTAAAGGGTCGTTTTATGACTTGTACCCAAGGCCCTTGACTTGCCAGGTTAGGGAGGTCAAATCATGGCTCACCCCGGATGTTTCGGATCCTTCCCTCTGGCTCCATTTAGGCCTTGAAGAGTTCTAAAGCTAAAGCAGTCCTACTGAATCCCAACCAGAGCTGCTGGTCATCAGCACTTTGCTGTACTCAATCTGGACTGGTCTATTAATCTGGAAATGTCCATGATCGCTTTGCCCTACTTCCAGTCTCAACACTAAGTCAGGCTAACTCCTTCTACATTTCATATACTAAGAAATAAATGTGGACATCAAGGCAATTGTTGAACTTTCCTTCAAGCTATTTCCCACACAGACAAAAACACATGCATGCTCCCTCATTTAAAGACATTTTACAGACAAAACAGTTAAAAACTACACTAAATCCACAGCAAAATAGAATCATGTTACACTTAAGAAAAATATATTAAAAGCATTAAACGCTGAATCTTAAGTGCAGCTTGGATTTGTTGAACTCTTTGATCAGAAACATGATTCTATTTTGTGTGGAATTTCTAACAAACTGAGAAACCTAGGCCAAAACCAAAGGAGGAACCGACATTTTAGGCCTGAAAGGAACATGAAAAGGCTGAGCAATAGAACTTTGAGAAGCTGGATAACAAGCTCTAGGTTGACAGGTGTGTGCTAACACACGCCTGTATGACCAAACCCATTCAGCTTTTCAGGAAAAAAACAGATTCTTTGACATGACCTCAGACACTGACCTGGCATCGGCTTCACTGTAGTACTCCCTGGCCACAATATCCTCAAACAGCTCACCACCGGTCACTCTGGAGGGAGGAGAGGGAGGGAGGGATGGACAGACCATTAAAAGAAAGCTGGACCCAGAATCTGTATAATCGACTAAATTAAACTGGTGTTCCTGTGTCTGCAGGGGTCAGGAGGTCAGATAACCGGGTCAGATTTCACAGAACGGACTGTGGTCAGACTGATACTGGTTTTTCTGCTTAAATCCCAGATCTGGTCCCACACTACACCCATCCTGTTTGTTCAGCTGGAGGAGGGCTGTGTTTTTTTTCCATGATTCACTTCCAACGAGCTTTTTCCAAATAACACAGATGGGATATGTATAATAGAAGGGAGGCGCAGTAATAATTGAGCAACACGGTGAGCATCATGCTGCGAGTAGGCCTTCGGTCACACACAGCAGATATTCCTCCCAGTGAAATACCCAGTAAAGCCCCGCTGAAGCCAGGAGGGAAACTAGAGCACAGGACCCCTGCAACAAGTCAGAATCAGCCTGCCATTCAGCCTGTTCACAACTCTGGAGCAGCTTTCCACAGGCCAGTCCTCACTGTCTCATAAAAAAGGGATTTTTTTTTTTACTGAGCAGCTGCGAATTGCTGGTGAGTATTTTTACTGGCAGACTTTGATTAGAATTAGCACACTTTA